TGTCTGGATTCAGCTTCAATCTGTTTTTCCTCATCCAGCCCATTACAGTATGGATATGGTTAAGCAACTTTTCTTATGTAAAAAACACCAACCCTGCCCAATCACTAACAGCTTCATTGAAAGTTTCCAGAAGAAGAGAAAATGCAAAGTTACATGTTGCACTTTCATTATTTTTTCTTGAATATGTGACCAGTTCACTGACCTACATTACATTTCTTTCCATTTAATTGGTTCCAGTGAACATATTTCCTTTGGAAAGAACACTGTTGATGAATAAGCTAGCAACGTACTTGGCTCAAATTAGATTAACTTCCAGCCTTCTTTAAATGATGCTACAACCATATTGTAAAGAACAAATGAAGAAAAAAGGGTGTTAGAGAAAGCCCTAAGTCCAAATTACTATGGTGACGAGTAGAGAGTTGTTTTTGAAGATGTTCATTCTTCTAATAAAAGTATCTATGTATATATTTTCGAGAGCCAGGATAGTGTAGTGGTTTAAGTGTTGGACTACAACTCTGGTGATCAGAGTTTCATTCCCTGCTTGAGCATAAAAACCTACTGGATGACCTTGGGCAAGTCACACTCTCTCAGCCTCAGATGACTGGCAAACCCCCTCTGAGGAAGCTTGCCTGGAAAACCCTATAACAGGTTCACCTTCGGGTCACAATAAGTAAAAAAGGCACACAACAGCAGCAGCAACAACAACAACAAATTACAAATACACACACACACATAATAATAATGGATAATGGCTATAGATATAGATATCTGTCTTGGAAGCACCCCTTGAATGACATATATTTCTGGGCAGTTTATTTAAACTGACAAGTCTACTTCTGATAAATTGAATTGAAAGTTAAAGTCTTTTAAGTCTTTTTAAAGTTAAAAGTCTTTTAATGTATTCCATTGATGTGTGTGCAGATCTGGGTCCATGTACAGCTCCTTGAAATGTGGTTTTGCATCCATCAGCCCCTCCAGACACTCTGGGTATGCCTTCTCTCACCAGAAAAGGGTAAACTACCTTTTGTGAAAGCCTCCACAAGTGGTGATTCAGATACACACAATATCTGTGAAAAGTAATACAATGCAGAGATGATACAGTACAAAAAATAAAGACCAAACCCCCCCAAAGAACCTCCCACTGTAATGGTGACAATGTGACACTGCCAAAATGTATTAAAACATTCACTCCTTTTCACTATGTGCCACAGCTGCCACCAAAATATGTGATGGCAAGACTCACCCACCAACCTCTTTTCTCAGATGGCAGCCCAATGAGTCTTTTTGATCCCACCTATGCCATCAATATGTCATAGGGTGGCAACTATCCCACCAGTTTGCTTCCTAATTTGTGATGTGATGCTCAAACTCAGTTCTCACCTCTAGTGTCTCCCACATGCTAACTCTCTTTAGATGTCAGCCCTCTGGGTTTTCCAAATCCCAACAGCTTGACACCAATTGTTAATTGATAACTACACACACCTGCTCTCTGATATGTCCCAATTAATAAAAGCATTTCCTCTCTCTTGGTAGTATTTTGAATGCATTTCTTTAAGCACTTCAGACAACTGCTTGTTGAATAAACCAAAGGACTTTATTTAAAAATCAGGCTGAATACAGTATTTTTCTCAGCATTCAAGATGGATGCAATATATAAATACTTTAGTAGTTACACTACTTGCTTATCCTTGTAATTGTTTCTTTTTGCCCTTATAAATGTTCCTTTACAGTCCAAGTTCTCACAGAACCTTTATCTATCGTCTGTATCTTTTAACCCTTCTGGTTATCTGTGACTTCACTAGTCACCAAGCACTATATTCCCTGCAGGATATTAACATAACAATTTAATTAAGAACTTTCCTCGTCCCTATCTTGGGTACCTAAAAAACCTTTCCAACTGTCCCTCACGTCAGCCTATCCTAGCCTCAGCAGCTCTATAACCTCGCAGGGTACAATCAACATATCTCCTTATCTCAGGTACATAAACCCCCTTCTAACTGCACCTCATAACAGTCTCCCTCAGTCTCCTTGGCTGCTAAACCCCTCAGGGTAGAATAAAACTCTCTTAACTAACCCCAAACACAGCACTGTCCCTCTATTTACGACTTTATCGCATGTCGTTTTAAACTGAATCAAGCCTCTTGGGCTGCAGCTGGGAGATGGGATGGAGGCAGGGATTATCGCAATCTAAATCACCACCAAATTGCCAGCCGCCATCATCCCAGGTCCAAGCTGGGCTCAGCCAGTGCTTTTTAGAAACTGGAATGCTTTCTAAAAAGTGTTGGCTTAGCCTGGCTGGGGCCCAGGCTGATGGCAGCCAGTGATTTGGTGGCAATTTAGCTTGCAATAATCCCTGCCTCCCAGTTGCAGCCTGGGAGGCTTGATTCAGTTTAAAATGACAAGCGATAAAGTCCTTATACTCACTCCTGACAGAAGCCCTAACCTTTTCCTGGCATAGTTCCTGTTGGTTGTTGCCAACGTTCTAATCTAGCTGTGTTGTCTCCACAGCCACCCAAAGAGGCAAAAAAGGGACCCTTTCAAATCCATTCTTATTATTAATTTCCTCTTTCAGAGATTTAGTACTAACTTCCTTTGTCAAACATACATTTGTTCCATTCAGATTGATAACAGTTGCCAGCTTTATTTAAAAATGAAGGGCACATTGGCTTTATTTTCCTAGTTTAACATTTTAACTCTCCCTTGCTGCCTTCATAGCACATTGGGCTAGTCTACCACAACAGTCAATAATGATACTCAGCAGGCTTGAAGAACTCCAGGACATTTTAGAGTTCTCCTGGTATTGCCTTCTTAGGTTATCCTCAAATCATGCAGTAAATACTGAGTTTGGGAGGGATTCTGAAATACCTTCATCTTTAAAAAGCTGAGCTAAGAAGAACTCTATAGTATGCATGATGGCTTAACAGTGACTAGTGAATCATCAGAAGTTATTTCCATATATACAAAAGGACATTGTGTGTCCCTGGATTTTCTCTGCTTCACAGAAGTTTTAATGAGTCCTGTTGTTAGGTTGAAGGCTAAAACAATGAATGCTCCTTGTGAAACCTCTTGCATGGGAGAGGGGGGGAGTGTAGCCCTCCAAGGTTCCTTTGGGGGCAATGTAGACCCCAACCCTTGACAGTTGTCAATCCCCACCCTTCTACTGAGAATGGATTAGTCTACACATTTGTTTGTTTGTTTGTTTGTTTTGGATTTCACTTTTTTCCCAATGTGAAGAATAATGTGGTAGTGAAGCACTATCAGAGTCCAGAGGATGGGAGTAAACTTTATTTTTGAGATTATGTAGGCTGAATTTAAATGCAGCTATATCTTAATGGTTAAGACACTAAATATGACATGCACAAGGTCAGCAGATCAGCAGTTTGAGACCCAAGACTGGGTGATGGAGTGAGCTCCCATCACTAGTCCCAGATTCTGCCAACCTAGTAATTTGAAAGCATGAAAAAGTGCAAGCAAATAACTAGGTATCACTTCAGTGGGAAGGCAATAGCATTCTGTGCAGTCATGCTGGCCACATGGCCATGGAGTTATCTTTGACAATGGTGGCTCCCTCAGTTTAGTAACAGAGATGAGCACCACCTCCTATAGTTGGACACAACTAGACAATCTTGTCAAAGGGGAAACCTTTGCCTTTATACCAATCAAACTTGGGGAAATCTGGTGGCGCAGTGGTAGCAGCCCTGGTGCACAGTGGTTAAATGCCTGTACTGCAACCACTCACTCATAGATCACAAGGTTGCAAGTTCAATACTAGCCAGGGCTCAGGCTTGGCTCAGGCCTGTATCCTTCCAAGGTTGCTAAAATGAGTACCCAGCTGTTGGGGGCAATGAGCTTACAGTTGTAAACAGCTTAGACACTGCATAGTGTGGTATGAAGTGGTATATAAATGAAGCTGCTTTGCTATGCAAGGTACCAATTATAATATAAAAAACAAACAAAGTAACAAAAGACCATAAAGAAAGTAACTACTAATTATATAATGGACTAAAATTACATAAACCAAAAAGGAATTATCAAGAAACTAACAATTATATAATCATATACAGAAAATAACTGACAATGTTTTCAAAATTGATTTTACTAACAAATAGTATTTACAATACCAGTACTTGACTGAATTGCTAAAGTGTGAAATAAAAGCCCATGAAAAGAACTATCTCTATCACAAAAATATCAAGTCTTGTATCCTGGAGCAAACACTACTTCAGTTAAATGCACTCATGCACACGAGTAAATGCAAATGCCTTGTTCAAGTTGAGTACCTTCAAACTGTTTCCAACTCATGGTGACTCTAAGGTGAACCTATCGCAGTTTGTTTGTTTGTTTGTTTGTTTTGCAGTATTTGTTCAGACAGTATTTGTCATTGATCTCCTCTGAGGCTGAGAGAGTATGACTTGTCCAAGGTCATCCAGTGGGTTTCCATGCCGATTGGGGATCTGAACCCTGGTCTCCAGAGCTGAAGTCCAAACCATTATGCCATGCTGGTTTCCACATGCTCTGCTTTACTGGGGGTAGTGGGGTGGGGCAAGGAATCAGCACAACAGAAACAGGTCTGGCCTAAAATCTTTCCCCCAATGAATTAGAATTTGTTTTTTAAAAGACTGAAGTTTGTGAGAGGGACATCTTAAAATGGTAGACTTCTCCTGAAGTTTAAAATGGCACACTCTATTATAATAGAATCAAAGAATCATGGAGTTAGAAGAGACCACAAGGGCTATCCAATCCAACCCCCTGCCATGCAGGAAGTCACAATCAAAGCACCCCAACAGATGGCCATCTAGCCTCTGTTTAAAGACCTCCAAAGAAGGAGACCCCACCACTCTCCAAGGGAGTGTGTTCCACTGTCAAACAACTCTTACTGTCAGGAGTTTCTTCCTAACTTTAGATGGAATCTCTTTTCCTGTAACTTACTGTCAGGAAGGTCTTCTTAATGGATCTCAGGGATCTATCACCCCAGGGCTCAACCACTTTATTTGACCACATGCCTATACTTGAATGGGATGGGGCAAGTTCCCCCTAAGAAATAAAGGAAGCTGCTAACCTGATGGCCTTATTAGTTTCACGCTGTAGCCTCTTTTACTCAATTTCTCCCAGGCAAAGCAAATGTAAAATCTCTCCTTGAACTTCTCTGCTTGAATCTCACTGCTGTCATTTCCCTTTAATCTTCCCAGCTTTAGGAGAATTCTGAAAGCCTTTGAAAAGGAAGGCAAGTGCCTTTACCCCTGACTGCTCTCCTTCCTTTCTTGCTGCTATTGGGACCTTGAGGCTGAATGAGAGGAGTGGGTTGTGGTGTGTGTATGTTGTGCAGGCGTGGGCGGGATTTAACTGCCTGCCAACACACTGTTCAGAGGGAACAAAAGGAAGGGGGGCAGAGGACAAGCTATGATCTCCATCCCCCTGACTGAAGATGCATAATCTAGGGATTGTATGATCTAGGAGAAGAGTTGAGGAAGGTGAATTTCCCCAAAGTTCTCCCCTGGTCTTTGAAGGACCTTGGATTCTCCCGCTGCTATTGTCTCGTTAAGACAGATTTCTTTATTTATTTTGACTAGGAGAAAGGAGGAAGGAGAAAGGAGGTGAAGAAGTTGGAGTGAATTGGAAAGAAAAGCAGAGTCGCGCTGCCCCTAGCGGTGATAACCGGGAAGGCAACTTGGAATCGAAGGACAGTTGCTATTTTCAGCACCATTGGCGTTGGACAGCACCAAGGAGCGAGGGAAGGAATCATCTTCCCAGCCCAGGTGGAGATAAGGCAGGGGATGGTTGGGCAGCCCAAAATCCTCCCGGAGAGATATGCTGACCTATTCTTTGCAGAGCTATCGAGCTTGGGTTGCCTCCCAGGACCTGAGAGCTCCCTGCTGAGTGGCTTGGATGCAGCATCTGAGAGGGAAGAGGGCAAACATGTTGCACATGAACCTTCCTCTCCCTAGGAGAAGACACAGCATCCTCCTGGGAGAGGTGGGAGGGGACTCTCTGAAACAACGCTTCCCACCCCAGCCTCGATCAGAGCCAACTGATGGTACAGAAGACCCCTACAGCCAGCATCAAGGAAGTCCTCCTCTCAGAGAGCTCAAGACCTCCAGGATGTCTCAGCTCAACCCAAGTGTCCCACTGCTCTGATGTGGCCAGGTGATGTTCACATACCACAGAATATCCTTCTGCATTTCTTGGGTCTTGCCTGTTGCCTTTGGTCAAAGCTTCCTGGGACCTTCTCCATCTCTCTGAGGACTTTCTTGGTTTGGTTGGTTCCCTCCCATCCTTTTTTGGAGATTAAATGAGAAAAGAACATTGCTTAAAGATATCAGTCTTCTCTTGCCAGCTCTGAAGTGTGACTGAAGTTCAGGTAATTCCTTTTCCTCATCTCCTTAAAATAAATGCATCTGAATAATGTTCCTGTCAACTAAGTTAATGGTATTTCATTACTTAAGAAATTGTCACTGATGTCACTTAAGTGGAAGAAAATATTGCTTTACCAGTGTTGACTGTGGAACAGGCTTTGGGGTCCAGGGCTTGCATTAAATACTTCATAAAGTGCATGGTATTTTTTAGATTCTATACAAATGTATAGATGAGAGAGAGAAGAGAGAATACACTGACAGGCAATTCTTTAAAAATACAATGCATTACACCTAGCTTCCAATTATCATTTGCAGGCATAGATGTCAAAGAAGAAGAGATTATAGTTTCTCCATTTCAACTAGAATGTAGGAGGTTTCCCTTAGATACACAACTTCTTAAATACTTGTCACCTGTTAATTCAGTTTTTCCCTTCCAACCTCAAGAATGTTATACTGTAACTTGAATATGCTGCAGCACTGGCAGAACATGAACAAGGAATGACATCTTGCCACCAGAGTTTAGAGTTCTCTTTTTAACCCCTTAGCAATATAATGTTACTTCTTTGGTTGCTTTCCATTTGTACATCATCAGAGCTCCCTTCCAGAATATTGCAGTTGTTCAATTTGTAAGTGTGTCTGTGTGTCTGTGTGTGTGTGTGTGTGGGGGGGTATTGATATACATCTGAGAATAAATTCATAAAGACAATGTGTCTCATCTCCAAAATGTACTCTTTCTCCCACACACAAATCAGTAATGTCTGTCTATAAAATATGGGCACCAAATTTCAATTGAGCTTAGAAACACCCTTTGCTTCTCCATCTTGATAAACAATAACCCCATAAACTTAAAATCTGCTGTCTTGGAGATTTCAACTCCTTGATTGATCAGGGATGAACTTGTATCCATGGACCAGACACATAGTTTATTACATATACATCCAATCAGAGACTCCATTTATAGGAGCCATTCTATGCCTGAGAATTATTACATGGGTTTGGTTATAGGATGTGATGCTCTTGCTATACTGCTCTTGATGAGCATTCAAGATTTTACAAACTGGAGGTTTATTGATAATCAGTCCCAGATTATGCTTTAAGCCTCAGTAAACTGAATGCAAACACTGCATGTGTTTTAGTGTACATGTTTATTCAAAGTTTTGAATTAATCTTAAATTCAGCAGGTTACCATACTTTAATTTAAGATATTTTAGTAACTCTTGGTACAGAATGAACCTACCTATGGAGAGTTATTCATAAGTTCACAGAGGAAGTGAAGGAATCTCTAATTTTGAACAAGATTTCCAAGTTCTGGGGCACTTATCTGTCTTATCTGGTCTTCCAGGATCACATTTTCAATAAAGTGTTCTCACTGCATATTTAATTATAATATTTTAAATCTGGCTTTAAAGATTTTAAAATAAGGACCATGTGAGCTGGAGTGAGCAATTGTGCAAAGTCTGAGGGCCAGTTTTTCTGCTTCTGAGACCCCTGGGGGGGGGACATACTGACAGATGAAAATGCCAATATATGTACACATAAGTGTCTGGAAGTCTACTGCTGATTTTGAAAGCAAGTAATTAAACAGTGAAGTCACACACACCCCACAACCTATTTAGAAGCTAAGTTGCCATGTTTGGAGGCTACTGGAACAGGCAATTCACACTATGTTTTCATCAGAAGAGGGGGAGTCCAGGTAATCTGGAGAGGTGTGAGGTTACAAAAATAGCTTTGGGGCCACACATTGCTCACCACTGATGTAAGGCAGTGACAGTAAATTGTTTGGTGGTAGGATTCAAAGACATAGCCATGTTAATCTGGAAAAATCAGTATGCAAAGGGATCTTGTAGCATATTTGAGACTAATTGAAAGAGAAAAGTTGGTAGCATGAGCTTTCTTAGACTTGAGCCTACTTCATGTTTATCCTACCAACTTCTATCTTTTAGTTAGTCTCAAAGGTGCTGCAAGATCCCTTTGTATAGTAAATTATTGGTGGAATTAAAATTTTATGAACTATTAGTTTCTCACTTCCTATGGATCAATTTTGTAAACCAACAAAGGAAAGTTCCACATGGAAAATTAAAATGTACTGTGTACTCACTAATAAGATCTTGGTTTAGTGCCACATCATGACTAGAATCCTGTTGGCTACATAACCCCTGGTGGCGCAGTGGTAAATGCCTGTACTGCAGCCACTCACTCATA